CAAGTTTATGCTTCCACTTAATATGAGGCAACTGTCTGCCATACCAAGAAAGAGGCTCTCACCCTCTCCCTAACAGGGAGAGACACAAAGCCTGATTAGTCTTTAGTCTACTTCCCTTAAATATTGGGCATCCAAATGATATGCAGGCTTCCCCATCAGCTCTAGATGTGGCCCCTCATAGTTTGAAATCTGCATTGGAATGATAAAGTCCACTAACACTTATAGTAAATGGCACTGGAAACAGAAGAAAAAAGATATAATTATTTTTCATATACACATATCATATGCTTATCACTATATCCTCACTTCTGTAATAGGACATGAAGCCAGAGTTGATCTTTATCACTTTCTACTCCCACCATCCATTCGTTTTCCTTATGAGGCTAATGTCTCCACAGGTTGGGGCTGCTTGTCTAGTGTGATAATTCATCCCAAGAATTCCTTTCCTATTTTACTTTATATACAAGATTTATTTAATTGGACTATCTCCATTATGTCTTCCTTCACCTTAGGATCTCTGGGCTATTGCCCTAATATAACTACCCACTAACAACCTGTCATAGGAGGCATAATAGGGAGCTAGGACTCAAGTGTATTAAGGGACATCCCTGTTACAAATGTTCAGTTTCTGTCTAACTCCTCCATCTAATGTTTTCTGTACTATTTAAGTTTAGGAGGTCATGAGTATGAGTCTTAGTGACTTAGCTTTACACAGTGGGAAATGTCCAGTCTTCTTGACTTGTCCTTTCCTTTATCTCTCTTCCTCGTATAGAAACATCATAGTTTATATCTTCTAGACATCCAATAACTATTCGCAGTACAGAAGATCTGCTTTCTATATGCAGCTGGTGGTCACATATTATCAGCATTTCTACATTCAGCAGTTCTTTCATAAATAATTTTCCATCATTCATGATTAATTTTAAACCACCTAAGTCACCTGACAACGCAATGGTAGCAGTAAAAACAATTAAACATTTTGTGGGGAAGAAATTTGAATTCAAATTTTGAAAGATGGCGTAAGACAGGCATGAGACCAACTATCACTATACCTCTTCTCTGGGTATGGTATGGATCCCAATGAAGAGGCCGAAGATAATATAGAATTCTCCATTGCACGATATTGTAAACATTATATCTTTTCTCACTGGCTAATGGTATATGCGCTTATTTAGAAAGGAGTTATCTGATGTGGACGAAATCCTCATTGCAAACTCCCCTGAATGGCTACTATCCTGCCTTTCATTAGATGGCACCATCTTAACCTGGACTTTTTTGGAAAAAAGAGCCTGAGTGTGATAACACTTAATGGGGGGAAGAAGTGAAATCCAAAGGAAGAAAGAATGAGAGACAAAAGGAAAGGGAAATGAGTCAGGGAAGGAAGAAAAGCAAGTACAAGATAATACGTTTTCAGAAGCTGGCCACAGCTTCACAAGAATACCATTTTTCACTCATTCACATGGAATATCTCTGACCAGCCCTTACACAAACACGGATCTTCAAAGGGTCGATCAGATTGTAGGAGGGGACTAATAGTTCCCTGACAGTGTCTTTCTTGTCTTCTGTCCTTTTCGCATGAAAATTTTCCATGTAGGGCATTTATATCCCTGCATTTCTGGATTGTGTTACCTGAGCCCTTCAGGACACCTCTGACAGCTGCAGCCTCTGATGGACCTGGTCAACCTGGGCACTGAATCTACTATGGCTCTTACCAAGGTGGACATGATGGAAGCTGTGCCAAAGTCTGGCCTTATACAAATTAATGATAACCTAGTTGTATAATCATCGGTACAAAACAAGCATTGCAGAGGCAGCTCTGAGTAGGAAGCTGGGCTAGCATCCAGGTGAGAGAGACCGACGGGCTGACAGACCAGGGAAAACACATGATCTAGGTCCAGTGTACTGTCCAGTGATGGGGGATGTTTGAACCTGTTTATCAAAAGCTTTATGAACTTTCTAGTTTAACTTTGATCTCATACTGGTAAAGCTGTAGGTTTGACAAGAGGATATGTAAGTTTTCACTTAAGAAGCCAGGAAAATAAAAGCAGTTAAACTCTAAGTAGAAGAGAGGAAATAATAAAGGCAAAAAGATGTAATAAATAATATGGGAAATGGACAAACATAAAAGAATTAATGAAACAAAAAGCTGCTACTCAACAAGATCGATAAAACTGAAATAAATCTCTAGCTAGACAGATCAAGGAAGAAAAATACAAATACAGAAACATTAGAAATACAAGCAATATCTGAAAAGAAAGGACATGATTAGAGATAAGAAGGAAATAACAGCAAATAGATAATAAGGAAATATTATTCTTACAGGTTGAAACATGTCCTCCAAAAAGATATGTTGAAGTACTCACTCTTGCACCTGTGAATGTGACTGTATTTAGGAAGAGGGTCTTTGCAGATGTAATTAACTTAAGATGAGGTCGTTAGAGAGGGCCATAATCCAATATGACTGGAGTCCTTATAAGAAGAGGAAAACGCATCTATGACAGAGGCCCACGGGGAGAATGCCATGCAATGACAGAGGCAGAAATTGAGGAATGCATCTACTAGCAAAGTAACACCAAGGATCGACAGCCACCACCCAAAGCCAGAAAGAGGCAAGGAAAGATTCCACCCAGAGTCTCAGAAGAAGCGTACTGATATCTTGGTGATGGACTGCTGTCTTCTACAACAATGAGAGAATACATTTCGGTTGTTTGAAGCCATCAAATTTGTGGTACTTTGTTATAGCAGCCCTGGGAAACTTACACAACTATGAAAAGACAATATGACAATGAATTTGACCATTTAAACAAAATGGACAGATTTCTTGAAAGATAAAAATTATCAAAATTGAAAAAAACAATGTCTAAATAATCCTAACTCTATTAAAAAAAATGGTATTCCTAATTAAATACCTTCTTCTAAAGAAAACTTTAGACCAGATTATTTCACTAGTAAATTTGATCAAACATTTAAGGAATGAAAATACAAATCCTATCCTCAAAGATAGATGGATATTCCAAAAAATGTCAAATGAGTATCTAAGGCCAGTATTTCTCCAATACCATGAACACAAAAAGACATCTAAAAAAGAAAATAACAGACCAATATCTGTTATGAATATCAACACAAAATTCCTTAAAATATTACGCAAGAAAATCAAGCAATATATTAAAAAGTATGATAAATACAGCATCACCCAGAGGGATTTATCTAAGCAGTGTAAGTTTTATTTAAAACTCAAAAACAAATCAATGTAATTCACCATATTAAATGACTAAAAGAGAAAATCTATAATCATCTCAATAGATGCAGAAAAATCATATAACAAAAAACAACGCCCTTCATGATGAAAGTCTCCATCACTAAGAATAGAAGGGAATTTCCTCCACATGATAAAGAGGATCTACAAAAATACCTACAGCTGACCTCACACATCATAGTGAAAGACTAAATACTTCTCTTTGTCAGACCGGAACAAGGATGCCTACTACCATCACTTCTCAACATTGTACCAGAGGTTCAAAACAGTACAATAAAGCAAGAGAAAAAATGAAGGAAAAGGATAAATAAATCTTTCTACATTCTCATGGGACATAATCATGTACATAAAACAGAAAAATCCTACTGAATCTACAGAAAGGAGAAAACAACCTACAGGAAATAAGTAAACTTAGCAAGGTGTTAGGACACGAGGACAATTTACAAAAACCAATTTCATTTCTACAAATTAGCAACAAATAATTTGAAAAGAATGTCAAATGCCATTTATAATAGCATCAAGAAACATAAATTTATCAAAATACGTATAAGACATACCCTGAAATGTATCACACTGCTGACAGAAATTTAAAAAGAGATAAATAATGGTCAGGAATTCTAACATTCAATATTGTTAAGACGGCAATTCTCCCAAATTAATCTACAGATTCAATGCTGTCCCAGGCAAAATCTCATCAAACATTTTTGAAAAAATTTTGAGAAAAAGTAAAATTCCAGAATAGCCACTATACTTTTTAAAAAGGACAGATTTGGAGGATTCATACATTTGATTCCAAGCCTTACTATAAAGCTATCTCACTGAGACAGTCTGGTGTTACTGCAAGAATAGGCACATAGATCACTGAGACAAACAGAGAATTCAGAAATAGACCCACACAGATGTGGTCAATTACTTTTCTACAAAGCCACCAAAGTAATTCAGCGGAGGATAGGGAAGTCTTTTCAACAAGTTGTGCAAAAAACCCGGATATCTATATGAAATAATAGTGAACTTAGACCTTTTCTCACACAAAAAATTAAGCTGAAATGACTATAGGCTCAATATATAAGTTAAAACTATAAAATTTCTAGAAGCAAACACAGCAGAAAAATCCGTGACCTTGATGTAGGCAAAGATTTCTTAGGACATAAAAAGCACAAAAAAGGAAAAAGATAATCAATTTTTCTTCATCAAAATTTTAAAACTTCTGCTTCTTGAAAGACACCATTAAGAAAATGAAAAGGGAAGACATAGACTGGGAGAAAGTATTTGCAATACATATATCTAACAAGGGATTTGTATCTAAATCATATAAAAAACTATATAGCTCCATAATAAGACAGAAATCCCAATTTTCAAAAAGATAGACCAGACACTTCAATGGGCAAAATCCTGAACAGTCACTTCACAAAAGAAGATGAACAAATGGCCAATAAACACATGAAAATATGCTCAATGTCATTAGTCTTTAGGGAAATACAAATTAAAAAACCACAATGAGATACCATTATACACCCAACATAATGGCTAAAATTAGACAGACTGCTAATATCAAGTATTGACAACGACATGAAACAAGTAGAATTCTCACGTGTTGCTACTGGGAAAATAAAATGATGCAACCACATTGGAAAAAAAAACTAGAAATGTCTTATAAAATGAAACATGCACTTACTATAGATTCAACAATCAAATTCCTAGGTATTCAATAAAAAGAAATGAAAAAACATGTCCACACAGAGGCTTGCACATAAATGTTCATGGCAGTTTTATTCATAACAGCCAAAACTTAGAAACTCATCAAATGTCCATAGGTAGATGAACAAATGGTGGTTTACCCATACAATGGAATACTACTCAGTAACAAAAAGAATGAACTAATGATACACGAAAGAACATGAATTAATTTCAAAAATATGCTGAGCAGAAAGAAGCCAGATACAAAAGAGCACACGATGTATGAAATTCTATAATAGGCAAAACTAATTGATAGTGACAGAAAACATATCACTGCTTGCCTGGGTTCAGGTGGGTGGGGAGGAGCATAAAAGAACTTTTGGAGGTGATGAAAATGTTCTATGTCTTGATGTGATGGTATCTAAGAGCTGTATACGTGTGTTAAAAACCCATTGATCTCAGGATTTAAAATAGATGTGTTTTATTGCAAGAAAGTATAACTCAATAGAGTTGATTTTTAAAATGTAAGGTCAAGAAAGACAAAGAAATCCTGAAGAACTATCCCAGATTAAAGGAGAGTAAAGCAATATCACAAGTAAATGTACTGCACGATCGTGAACATGGAGGAGAAACACCTATAAATGACATTGTCGGGACAGTTGACAAAATATGAATGCGGATTGTAGATGAAATCATAGTACTGTAGAAATGCTAAATTTCCTGATTCTGATCATTGTACTATGGTTTAGCAAGACATAGTCCTTGTTCTTGTAAAATATTTAGACAAAGGGACATAATGTCCCCAACTGATCATCAAATGGATATCAAAAGGAGAGGGAGAGAACTGCAAAGCTCAACTAGAACAAAATATAAACAAATGCTACCTATGGGTAAAGGTTATATGAGAGTTCCTTGTACTATTGTTTCAACTATTCAATAAGCTTGAAATTAGAGTAAAATTTAAAAAAAATTCTTTTTTTAATGCGAGGTAAGTATCCAGAAGAGGGGTGGGAGGGAGCAGGAAAACTATTTCTTGGTTCTTAATTGTGCTATCTTCCAAACCCAGAGGCTATTGAAATGATTTATCCTATCCATAAGGAAAAGACCCAGGCTCTTTACCAGAGTTCTCTACCTGGCTCTGTGAGGGGTTCAGGGAAAGAGAAAGAATTTCTCAGGGCCATTAAAGAGATGGGAAACTGCTTTCCAAAGACAAAATCTTCCCCAAGAAGACAGATGGCATCTGATCTCGTAAATCATAATTGAAAACAGCATTTTCTTCTTCTTCCGACTCATCTCTGTTTCCACAATGGAATAAATCCTCCTGTCAAAAAATATTAATTTGTAAGGAATCACAAATTATCACAGGAAACAAACAAAAAAATGACAAAATTCCATTTCACCTTTCTTCTGTGTCAATTGAAGCAGGGAGTGAAATCACAATCAGTTCTCTTCTCACAGATACATTTATATTTCTTAGCACAATCAATATCTGCTATTCTTATTGAGCTTAAAAATGCCACATTTTCCTCTTCTCCCGGAAGGCAAACTCATTATTTTAAAAATTACTGTAGAACAGAAAACATACATGGGTCAATCATTGAATTTCTGAAACTTTACAAGAACATAAATCATAATCGTCTTCAAGTCTGTGGCCTAAAGATCTGGAAATATGGAAACGTTAATCATAACTTCATCAGGAAAAGATTTTCTTTTGCTTTTTAGCCCATTAACTAGAATAACAGCCTCCTGATCACACCCATGATCTTCCATTTTATTCCACTGTAGCAATTTCTGGTCAGAAGGCAAAATTACCTTGCAATATAGCTATCGTTTCATGATATATAGCAAGCATGCTTTCTTATGTTAACTTTTTCAATAAAGGTGAGATATTAAAAGGAGAATAACTGGGGGCCAGCCCAGTGGCATAGCAATTAAGTTCGCAGGTCCTGCTTTGGCAGCCCAGGTTTCACAGGTTCAGATCCTGGGCATGGACCAATATACTGCTCATCAAGACATGCTGTGGCAGGTATCCCATGTATAAAAAGTAGGGGAAGATGGGCATAGATGTTAGCTCAGAGCCAATCTTTCTCAGCAAAAAAATAGGAGGATTGGCAGTGGATGTTAGCTCAGGGCTAATTGTCCTCAAAAATAAAAAAAAGAAAAACTGAATTCCTGTGACAGAGATAACTAAGTCTGGTGTGCATATACCTTAAGGAGAAAAAGTAGAATTGGAATATGGTCAGAGATGAGGTTATTTAATTGATGTTTTTATTCGCTTTTTTTCTTTTCCTTCCCTACCCCATTGCTAGTAATCATTAGCTAAAACATGACAATCCGTTGAGAAATATCTAACAGTGAGACTTCTATCTCAGCAAAGTGGTGGATTACATACCAGAACTATCTTCCTATGGAAATAACTAAAAATGCTGAATAAAAATATTTAATCCTTCTTGAATATATTTATGAATTGGCAAGAAGCAACTTCATACACAAGCTGAGAGTTAAAGTAAATGTGGGAACCCAGAAGGGTAAGCGAAGCTCTGAAGTCAGTTTTTCCCTTCATTGATATAATAGGTTGAATAATGAATTCCACCTATGATTCTAAATAGAAAGCAAGCTACATAGAATTGAGATGCCAAAGGGATGTAACTTCAGTATAAACCACCCAAGACTGTCTTGAATCTTTGGTCTTAAGCAGAAGAGAAAAAGAATAATCTCACCTAAGAGTTCAAAATCATCCCCCATCCCTCATTGTAATAGGCATTTGCTACATTATCTAAGAATATTCAAAATTGCTACAGGAATAAAGAGAAATAAACAAGGTAGGTAAATGAAACTAAGTAGCTCATGAGGCAGAGTCAGAACACATAAGATGTAAGTATGTATATGTAAGTAACCTATGAGACATGCTAGGTATAGATACAGTAAGGAGAACATGTGTGTGCTGATCATGGGAAAGGAAGAAGGAACCAAGTAGACACTAAATAGAAGACTCAAAATATACATGATGCACATAGATCCTCAACATTCATGAGGTCTTAAGTTCCCCACCCACTTGTGACATTCATCTGACCCTCTGCCTAAGAAACTCAAATAAAACCCATAGCTGCTCATAAGGTTAACTGGAAAGCTGTAGCTGTAGACAGGCTTACATACTCCTGTATGTCCTCGGTAGAGAAAATGTGCATGATCGCCACAAGAACCTTCTGCCTGTTGGGCCCCTTTACTCAAACCTCAAGTCTGGTGCTAGAAACCATCAGCAGGGAAGGGGTATGCAGCAGAGAGAGTCAGGCCACGTGAAGATTGCATAACCCAGGATTCAGGTGATCCTTTCACCCACTTGCACCTTATCCTAGTGTGACAACGTATCCCATCCCACCCAAGTGTGAGAGCTATCCCATTTCTTTCCCCTTGCATAGTACGATGTGGTTTAAATTGATTGAATTAACTGTGCAATTGGAGCATGTTAATTTGGCCTGTGAGCCTTTCTGTTCTGTGACCTCTGAGATTGTTTGCCTAGTAAGTGTACTTACAGGCTACGATTACATTAAGGTAACCTCCTGCATGACACCTTTTGTAGGTTTTCAGCCCAGAACTAGACTTCAGAATTTAGAATCAGTGGCCCAGATTCATAGTGCCCCAAGGCATCCAAAAATGCAAATTCTTTCTTGAGGAAGCCACGTTCATCTCAGTCCTTAAATAATTTCCACAGCAGATCAAAAAGGAAAAAAAAATCACTAAATGCTACATAGAAAATAGCATCATGGACAAAAACCAGCAGAAACAATACAGTGGAACCACAAAACTACAAAGATAAGAATGATCAGATACCAAATATAAAATAAGAACATTTAATATCTTTCAAGAAATGAAAGACAGCTGAAAATATGAGTAACTAGCAAGAAAATTTGGAAACATAAAATAGAAATTCTAGAAATAAAAATGTAATATGGGGGTCAGGCCCTTGGCTGAGTGGTTAAGTTCGCATGGTCCGCGTCAGCGGCCCAGGGTTTCACCAGTTCGCATCCTGGGCGTGGCCTGGGCACCGCACATCAAGCCATGCTGATGTGGCATCCCACATAGCAGAACTAGAAGGACCTACAACTAGAATATACAACTATGTACTGGGGGACTTTGGGGAGAAGAAAAAATGAAGAAGTAAAAGATTGGCAACAGATGCTAGCTCAGGGCCAATCTTAAAAAAAATATATATATATATAATACATAGTTCATATTTTTTAAAAAGTCATTGAACAGTTTAACAGCAGACTATAATTAAACATAAACTCAAGAGTTTAAAAAATACTGCACTTCAAAATAGAAGAACTATAGTGAAGTTATATGTGTGTGTGTATTCTCACATGTATTTATATTTATAGATAATAGAAGCTAATAATGTAAAGGAGTTTCCAATGAGTTTTTGGAATATTCAAAATACTCATTGGAGGTTATGGGAGGGATCACTTTGGCTAAGTCAGGATGGTCCAATCTCTTCAGATCACTTCACTTTATGATTTTGTGTACCTCATAACACATCCTTCTAAGCATGCGTTTAGAATCATAATTTTATTATTATTAATAACTCCGTATGATGCATGTCTTCCTTTTTACCCATACTTCCTAAAACACTTTCTTAGTCATTCTACTTATTCTTACCAGTGACGTCTGCTTGAAAATGAGTGAAGCTGTGCAAAATAAGAGAAGATTCCTTTTAGATACAATTCCAACTCCAACACCAATATGAGAGTTTGGATGCATTCCAGAGACTTACATTCCAGAAGACATGCCGCTGTCAATCCATTTCCACTTACTTTCCGTTGCATTGTATGATAATCCCAATCCAGTAGCTATCTCTATAAGTCTGGCGTTGAACAAAGTTCTATTAAGGAAACAAAACATATCATGTGAGTAAATGCCCACCCTGTTAGATAATGAAAAGGAGGACAGGTATAGGGCCCAGCTGTTTCTCTGGCCCAGTACTCTGCTCCTCTCCACATCATCCTTCACCCTTCCTTCCTAGAAAACCTTCCCTTCCCTCAATCTCTGTATTTTCAGTTTTCAAAGTAATTTTCTCCAGGATTATTTATGTTAAAAATGGCTGTCAGTCTCATAGATTATTTAAAGCATGGAATAATTTAAAATCTAAATAAATAACAATAGGAGACATTAATTAAATTATGACACTTTATGAAACCATTCAAAATCATGCTCCAGAAAAATATTTACAGATGTAGAAAAATGATCATTACATATTCTTAAGTGAAAAAAGGAATCTTCAAAACAATTTTATTAAAACAACAAATGTATGTGAGGAGATGTGCCTTAGAGCCTTTGGCCTCATAAGAGAAAGCCTTGCTGTAGTTGGAAGAGCTGAAGGAAAAAAAGGCAGTATTTGGAAATATTTACTGTCCAAAAATGTAATATATCAAAGTGGCATATTACATAATGTCTGATTAAATGACTGAATGTACTTTAAAGTATAGGCTTAAATTAATGGCGTTTTAATGCAACAAACATAAAAAGTTACTTTATGACTTGATATCACAAATTCTTTTATGTCGTGATTTAAAACACCTGTTAGGTTTGCATATAATTTTTGTGCTGTTTTCCTAAAAGATAAATAGAGGTTTCAGGTTGATCTTTGCAAACATTTCTCTATAAAAACACATTTTCTGTGTGTGGATAGTTATTATTAATAACAAATTAAAAAGATAATTTCGGGGGCCGGCCCCATGAGCGAGTGGTTAAGCTCCCACCCTCCGCTTCAGTGGTCCAGGGTTTCACTGGTTCGGATCCTGGGCACGGACGTGGAACAGCTCATCAGGCCATGCTGAGGCGGCATCCCACATGCCACAACTCGAGGGACAACCAACTAAAATATACAACTCTTTACTGGGGGTATTTGGGGAGAAAAATCAGGGGAAAAAAGAGAAGATTAGCTCAGGCGCTAAGCTTTAAAAAAAAGAGATAATTTTGATATTGTCATCACTGTATTTTCCCTTTTTATATTTCTTTTTGAAGGATATACTTCTTGACGTAATATATAAGAATATTGATCAAGTAAATGTTACCTACAGATGCAGTGAAAATCGCCATAAAGCTAATTTGTAAAACTGTTATCACTTTTATGTTTCTCACTGTTATCTCCATTTTGCAAATCAGAAAACTGGGACTCAGAGAGGTTAAGTACCTTAGCCACGGACACCCAGCCAGTAAGTGGCAGAAGTGGATTTTATCCCAGGCAGTCTAGCTCCTGTATTCCTAACAGTAACTACTAAACGGTATTGCCTCTGGGTTCTTAGTTGCCACTTTATAGTGAGAAATAATCACTGGTTCCAGGCTGCAATTTACCAAAGGGTTAAGTACTTCACTGAAGGAAAAACATACTTCTCTGTGAACAGGTCTCCTGCAGACTCATTAGAGAGGGAGATGATTGCAAAGACCCAAAGTGTACCTTCAAGGAGGTTTCCATATTAGAAATAAGGATGGTCATTAGGATAGATAATATGTATGGAATGCTTAGTAAGTAACAAAATCATATGCCTATTAGCACGCATGGGTCTCCTGGGAGACTCTTAACTATGCAATTTTTACTCACTCAACAGACAAAACGCAAAGAATAACTCAAGGTCCCTCTTTCTGAACTCCCCCCATCCTCAATATCTTGGGTCCAGAATGATAGAGTCCAAGAGAATAAAAGTAAATGTAACAATACATGATACCAGTTTATCTTCATCATCTATCTTCAAAAGAGATAAATTGTAACTTTCGCAAGTCTCTTTACATCCCATCCAGTTTTCATTTTCACTGGTAAAATAATAACAGTTTACTCCACAACAGGACCAGTGGTCTTCATTGAATTTGCCTACAATGTAGAAGGTGAAACATTAAACTTCTTGTCCTCTGGTATTCTGTTAAGCAGAGCAATATATTTATCATTGCTCTATAAATAAACTCTTAATAGCTATCAATAATGATAATATGAGGTTCATCAATATTCTGGAACACCAAGAGATTTATGCACTCCCACATTCACTGCAGCATTATTCACAATAGCCAAGATATGGAAACAACCCAAATGTCCATCGATGGATAAATGGATAAAGAAAATGTGATATATACATGGATGGATTATTATTTCGCCTTAAAAAGAAGGAAATCCTAGCATATGCAACAGCATAGATGGACCCTGAGGATATTATACTAATCACAGTGAAATCAGTCACAGAAGAACAAATACAGCATGATTCCACTTACATGAGATAAAAAATAGTCAAACTCAGAGGAAGGGAAAGTAGAGTGGTGGTTGGAGGGCTGGGGCGAGGTGGGAATGGGGGAATGAGGAGTCATTGTTCAATGGGTATACAGTTTCAGTTATGCAAGATGAATAAGTTCTAGAAATCTGTCGTACAACATAGTGTCTACAGTTAGTAATACTGAACAGTGCACTTAAAAGCTTGTTCAAAGGGTACATCTCATGTTAAGTGTTTTTACCACAAAAGAAAAAAGAAACACGAGGAAACTTTTGGAAGTGCTGGATATGTCTATTATCCTAATTGTGGATGGTTTTACAGATAGATACACAGGCCCAAAAGCATCAAATTGCATACGTTAAATATGTGCAGTTCTTTGCAGAATAATAATACCTCAACAAACCTGGATTTAAAAAAAATAAAATTCAAAAAAGGATTCTGGAATGTGTTCTAAATAAAAGAAACATTATCCTTCGAACTTTTTTTCTTTTCCTCATGTATTTTACAATACCAAACTTTTAAAATATTATTAATTCTCTAGCAATAGACACAGTGAATTTCTACCACACCTACGTGATATTAAACATGTAAAATCTCTTTGTAAACTCCAAATGCTAAACAGATATTTAGTAGTTGTTGATTAACCAGGTGAATTCATTTCATCCTTATGCATGATAACAGTTTATTGTGTGAGATTTCATATTCTTATATCTTGGAGGTCTTTAACGGCATCATCACACAGAGCGGCACAAGCGTCAACACTACGGCGAATCTTGCAGATGAACTGCAGGGACTACGTGCTGATCACAAATAGACCAAAGAGCTGAAGTCAAGGCAGAATAGGAACATGCGCACAAACACAATGATCTTTGCAACAGCATCCAAATAAAAGGCCATGTGCCCATTTTAGCCGAAGTATATTTTTACTGATAGCCTCCATATGTCACGTCAGCAACAAAGTGGGAGTGTCTAATTTGCCCACAGTTCCAAAACCATCCAAATTTTCAAGGGAGGGGACATACCATTTCACTTTGTTGGAGCAGCAGGAATGCAACTGCCATTGAATTTGGGGAACCATAAGGTTCTACTAATCCAAACATGTCTTCTGGGGTCTTCATCCCATATTTGAAACAAGTAACCCGAATACCCACACCACACTAAGAGGCACAAATTAAAGTTGTTTAGTAGACCTGCATCACTAGCACATATCCTCAGCCTCTTATTCGGCCTCAAAGCTTCTGGAGGGGGAAGAAATAATGAAAAGTCACGCTATCTTTCGCTCACGATTTCCTCCATACCTGTACTTTGCAAAGACTTTGAAAAGATCTCCTGTTTTATATGACATCTCATCTTTT